ACGACAAGAAGGTGCACTTCTAAGACTACCCCTGTGAATTAAATTGTATCCTGCATAACATAAACAACTTAGATAAATATGTCATAAATCGTTACTTAAAGGGAACGAAAGGCCATATAAGGAAGAATCAAAATGAGAGAAACTGTTTTAGGAAGCGGGGGTTCCCGACACTTAGCCTGTCGCCTGAAAGCGAGACACCTCCTGCAGCCTAGCCACGTCTCGTCTTAATGATAGCGAGAAGGGCACAAACGTGTCAGCTGCATAAGCGACATAAGAACCGTACATATTGGCACACACTGTCACCATTTCTGAAGTAGCTGAGTCAGTACAGTCACTGGACTGTTTGGCTTACAGGATTACTTTATGATGCTATTTGCTAGACCAGTGTCGAATTATACAATGATTGATAAATTTCAAGGACGTGTTCGTGGCCAATTTTACGTATTATCCTAAACTTTGTCTGGAAGGAATAGGGAAACCCCCTAAAAACCTAAGCTAGATGGCCGTGTCCCGGTTTACAGTATATACTGGATACGAGCCTAGAGATTTACCGCTATGCTAACCCATCCGGTACGTAGCGACTGGATTATGGTCTGGAAGACCGGATCATTGGAGAACGATTTTGGACAGAGGCAGAAATTTTTATCCTCGCCAGGGTGTCCAAACCGGCTCGGGGGCCCACACAATCTCCTACCGAATAGGTATAAGGGGCTTGTACATGCGTCAACATCAGCACCATCTGTGAGCCAATTATCTCGAAAATGTGGAAGCCTCGACGTCTTTCAGCCCTATGGGCTCCACGACCTCTTAGCTATACCTGTACTAAAAGCGGCCAAGTCGTGATGCTGACCATTTATCTCCATAAAGAATTCGTTGAGGTATCCCTCCAGTCCGCCGTACATCCTCATGAAGTGCGCTAAATTAAGTACAAGCATAATTTCATGAAGGTGCTATTGGGTTACTTGAGTGCCTCCAGGCAAATTACGGGATTACATTTTACATTACAACACGACGGCTTCCCAATCCTGGACATTTCACGATTCATTATCATCCGAGCGTTAGACGCTCTAGAAACTTACTTAAGAAAAAAGATGTTTTTTAAATAAACTACAAATGAACAAATGTAGCAGGGGTGGAGTTCAACTGGGTCCACTCGGCACGGGGGCCACTGATTGGCTTATTATGCCTGCCCCAGGTGATTATGATGATGGAGAATTTGGTGGAATGAAGATTGGCAGGGGAAACCGAAGTACTCGAAGAAAACCCGCCCCAGCACTACTTTGTCCACCACAAATTCCACTTGACCAGACTCGGGATCAAATCCGGACCGCCGCGATGGGAAGCCAGCGACAGTTACTTGTTCCCATGTCTTGCTAAACAGCGACAAGATTTAAATATTTCGAAATATACATGAAGAAATCAAAATTTGCATTTGTCAAGAAATTAAGAGCAGATTGAAGTCGGGGATGTTTGTACCGTTAAAATTCTGCCTGTAGATATGTATGGGTTTGAAGCCTTGTCTCTCATGTTAAGGGAAGACCATTAACTGAACAAGTTTGAGAAAATGGTGCTGAAGAGATTGTTTGGAATTAAAGAGGGAGAAAGTAATAGGAGGTTAGAGAAAACTGCATAATCAGCAACTCCATAATCTCTGCTCTGTGTCAAATATTGTTAGAATGATCAAATCACTGAGGACAAGATGGGGAACGCATGTAGAAAAACACTGGAGAGAAGATAAATAAATACAAATTTTGCTGGGAGAACCAGAAGGAAAGAGATCCTAGGAAGATCTAGGCGCAGATAGGGGATAATTTTAAAACGGATCTTAAAGCAATAGCATTGGAGGTTGCTGAATTGGTTCAGCTTGCTCTTGTCCATTTCGCACTGAATCTTCGGCCTTCATAAATTTCTGGTAATTTCTTGACTAACAGAGTAACTGTTAAGTTCTAAAGGAAGACTCACACTTCCACGTATTCCGTCAGTGTTGTTATATATGAATGACTACAACTGGGATACTCTTTTACTATACAAAACCCTTTCATGGAATTAATTATTTCGAGAGGGTGGTCAGTCCTCCACATCCTGTAATTAAATATATACCGAAGAGAGAAGCAAGTCTCACGAGAATTTCAACACCCTTTCTTAGTTCAAGTCCAGTGGTGGGTAGGCCATGAAGCCGAAGGGTAGCATCATACAAGCATTTTTTTCCGGGCTGTATTAAGGTCAAGCCAAATTTAAGTATGTTTTAATATGCGGAAACATGTTATAAGGATCTTGAATGCCATTACACACGAACACAGTACAACAAATAGCGTTGCTTGCAGTTACAGATAAGCTTCTCAGTTTTAATTTTAAGAATACTGGTATAATTCCCAAACAATATCATGGCAAATATTCATTGCAGTTACATGGTAAGAAAGTTAAGGTAAAGCTATCCTGTAAGAGGCTGTGAAAGCCCATAGGATTGTGAGACATCGAGGCTCCAATATTTTCTCTAGACAGTCTGCTCAGAAATGGCAGTAAGGTTGTCAGCCTTAAACGCCTACCACCGTTACACCCTGGGAAGATTCCTGGTACTCATTCCTGTTGGAAGCTGAGTCGACCTCGGGGCCATAGTGCGGCTGGAAGGGTTAGGTAAATAATAATAAAAATAAATAAATAAAGGGGGGAGGCCCAATGCATCACACGGTCGTAGTTTGCACGGCCCTGTTCAAATCAGTTTGTTATCTACCAATTCCGGTATATTTCACATTACATTTCAACGTAATGATGGGCTAGCGCGTAAGTTGGTTCGTATTTGGGACAGCCCGTGATATCTGCGGTCTGTCGGTCAGTACTGTGATATAAACACGGCGACCACTGGCGCAGAAGCCAGCTGTCGCACAGTCCACCTGCTGTGTTCGCTCTACGGTTCAGAAACCTACAATTCTTGTTAGATTTGCAGACGCGTCCATCAGAACGTCCATTTGTGAGCCAAAGCAAGTAGTAGGAAAAACTTATCTTTTTTTGTGACGCTGTAATTTTCCGAACACCACACGCATGGGGACGGCGAGGAAGAGCAACGACTTTACTTCTGAATCCTTGCCTGCCTCCTCAAACACTTTTACTCACTTTTCTTCTGCCATTGTCGTCGTTTTCTGCTTCACCTCCCACTTCTAAGTCCATTTCCCTTATTTTCATCATTTCCACGCTTTTCCTTTTCTTCATGTACTTCGCGTTCTGTTCCCTCTGTCCAATTTCCATTTTGTTTCTATTATCCTGTTTGTTTCTATCCTCCATGCTCTTCTCCATTCGTGTTCTTTCTCTCCTGCATTTTCTTTCTATATTCCTACTCTTCTGCCCCATGTTCTCATTTCCTTCTCTTCTTCCTACTTCTTTCTAATCCTCCTATACTCTTGGTTTCTTACATTCCTCGTTTACTTGCTCTTCTCCTTCTTTCATATTCCGTCTATTATTTCTCTTTCTTCTTCTTCCTACTGCTTCTTTCTATTAACATTCTTGAGTCTCTTCTTTTCCTCTTCATGTTATTCTTCTCCTGAGTCTCTTCATTCTATTTAATACCCCTTCTTATTATTTCCTTTTCTCTTCTCCTACTTCACCTCTTCGTTATTTCCCTTTTACCCACACTCATATACTTTCATATTTCCGCCTCATCTTCCTCTTTCATCTTCCTGCACCTTTCCTCTTCTCCCTCCGTATCCCCTCCACCCCTTCGTTCTTTACTGCACGTTGTCCAGACCCAGCATTCCGGGTCGACTAGTTCCCACCGGGACACGAACCACGAACCATGCCGGTGCTAAGGCCGCGCCATAGCTCAAGCGGTTAGTCGCTGGCTTCCCACTGCGGCGGCCCGGGTTCAATGGCGGGTCTGGTCAAGTGCGATTTGTGGTGGACAAAGTGGCGCTGGGGTGGGTTTTCTCCGAGTACTTCGGTTTCCCCTGCCAATCTTCATTCCATCAAATTCTCCATCATCATAATGGCCCGGGGCAGGCTACAATAGGCCAATTAGCGGCCGCCGTGCCGAGTGGACCCAGTTGAACTCCACCCCAACTAAGAGAATTAAAAAAATGCTGGTGCTAAAGAAAGGGGCGCATTGCACACAGTTTCTCACCTCAGAGACCCAGATTCAATACCTGGGATTCGTGGCTGAGAAAAAGCCAGTGAGGCAGATTTATCCGAAAATCGCGGTTCTCACGATCCAAACATTAACCTATCGGTGCTCCTCAGTCATCTCTGAGAGTCACTGTAACGTTTGAGCAGCACAACATCAGGACTTCTGTACTCAGCTGAGGACTTACTCAGAATAAAGGGTTCCTGCGGTCCTCACCGTACTTAATAAACAGCTGTCACTAATAATAAATTAGCATATAGAATAATAATAAGTTTCAATAACAATGTTTAGCTTAAGATACACGAATATATTTATCTGAAATTAACTTTAAATATGAAAATAAAATAAAAATATTGTAAATGCAAAAATTTAGGATATGCGAACAGAAATCATGTGAATTAAAAGGAGACACTTGATCATTTGAAGGAATACACACAATTTTACACATTTCAGAATCTAAAACCATAAGAACCGTGTGTTAAGGACGTATCGGCCCAATACAAATTAGAACTCAATTTAATTAAATGTTCAGTGCAATATTTGAAGGAAAGCAAGTGTTTCAATGTATTTTACAATTGTACCTTTATTCTTTAGACTTCACCGTTGACCCATGTAAATATCTGACACACCTTTCACTGAAAGAACAGAAGTTTTAAATGAAAAAGTGGCAATAACTTTGCCTGCTCACTACAAATCCCATATATCGAACCTGGTCCTTCAACCAACAGTCACAGTCTCTTTGATATGGTCCAATTGTTTTGGGTTAGAGAGTAAGGCGATTATAATAATGACGACAGTGAAGTGGTGGGGCAGATTTCTCTGCTGCTGTGCCTGCTGAAGTACAAGAGTGAAGACCGGCCTTGCCTGTGCTCCAGTAGCCACTCGTCATCACAACGGAGCGATGTGGGGTCGTACGGTGCTGCTCTCTATCGCCGTCTTTCTCGCAACAGCAAGTGAGTACATTGTTGTGAAGTGCTTGTAATTAGGGCGGACTTATGTATGGCTGAAGGATGTACTAACGTTGCTCAGCAAACATCACTCCTATACACTTCATTCGTACTGAGAATACCGAACTACTTAAGCCCATCAACGCGCGCCCGTATCACTTTCTTCAACATAAGAAGGCGCTCAGCTTCTCACACAGTGAATTTAGGTTATGCATTTCTTACAATTCTCGTAATAATCTGCATTTTTTCCCGTAAACAGCATTAAGAAGCTGGTCTTTGTAATGAACCCGTGTATTTCTGTGAGTAGGAACTGAATGCATAAATGTTATTGACATTAATTTCATGCTCCACATAGTTAAGAGACCCATAAATGTTGCGCAACAAACATCAGCTGTGTTTGTCAATGGACACAGAAATTTCTTCCTGCGGATTAAGGACCTGTCGTACCCCTGTAAAGCACAGTAATAATTATATGAACTATATTCTTTAACGGTAATAGATTCCATACTCTGCCTAAAAAATGCATTTATGGATTTCGTGTGATTCTCACATTAAGCCGCGATTATTTGACGAAAACAGAATGTACCGGTTTGAGATAAGACTGCTTCTTGAAAAACAGAAGCTAAACTTGTAAATGTTTTTTCGGATATATACGTAGCTTCATGCTCCGGAGGGTTGAAGGGTGAAACTCGACTCACTGGCATTGTTAAAGAGAAACCCCAACCCCCGTACCGGCTTCGGTCGCAAGACAGGAAAGTTACTATTATTTCTGACAACGTTTTTTTATTTACTGGTCATTGTCCTGGATGCACTAATAATAACAAAGGGAAGTAAAAACCTTCACAGTTAGCTGAAACTCTTAATATATCAGTTCAGTTGAATATTAGATCATTTTTGTTGAGTAAACAAATAAGTGAATAGGTAAATAAACTAATATTGTATGCGATTAACTTCATGACAAAACACTTGTCTCTGCAAATAAGCCAGCAAAGAGGCAGGCGAGATGTCTCAGTCACTAAGTAGCTAAGCTGCGACTTGTATCACAGATATATAGAGGTTCGATTTCCGACGAAGGCGAGGTATTCTCTTCCCCATTCATCCTCCCACCCACCTGGTACAGGAGGCTAAGATGTGAAGAAGCTGTGGAGCGAAGCTCACTTCCCACCTCACCATCAAAGTTCGTATCTCAATTCCGCTGTAAGTCTTCATAGCGTGCTGCTTAATTAAGCACAGAGACAACTGTGCCATCACCTTACGAACAAAATGCGGGAAAACTGAAATGAATGAAATTTGTAACTCTCTGTATTCAACTGAGTATATGCTTCTGACTCGTCACCAAAATGCAGGGCAAAATCATGACATGAAGATAGGAAAGAGATGTTTTGAAAATGTGGCACAGTTCGAATATTTGGGAATAGTAACTGATCAAAATTTGATTCAGGTGGAAATTAAGATGAGATTGAACTCGGGCAATGCTTGCTACCATTCAGTACAGAACCTTTTGTCTTCTCGTCTGCTGTCCAAAAACATAAAAATTAGAATATACAAAACTATAATTTTGACCGTGGTTCTGTATCGGTGTGAAACTTGGTCTCTGACATTAAGGGTGGAACACAGGCTGAGGGTGTTTAAGAACAGGGTGTTGATGAGAATATTTGGACCGAAGAGAGATGAAGTGACAGGAGGTTGGAGAAAACTGCATAACGAGGAGCTTCATAACTTTCACCCTTCTCCAAGTATAATTAGAATGATCAAGTCAAGGAGGATGAGGTTGGCAGGGCATGTAGCACGAACGGGGGAGACGAGGAATGCGTATAGGATATTGGTGGGAAAGACAGAAGGAAAGAGACCACTGGGAAGACCAAGGCGTAGGTGGGTGGACAATATTAAAATGGATCTCAGAGAGATAGGATGGAATGGTAGTGATTGGATTGATCTGGCTCTGGACAGGGACCAGTGGGGCTCTTGTGAACATGATAATGAACCTTCGAGTTGAATAAAATTCTGGTGAATTCTTGAGTAGCTGCACAATTGGCGGCTTCTCAAGATGGGCTCAGCTCCCGGAGTGATGATGATGTGCATCCCACTGGAGTACACATCTCCTTTCTTCAGTTGGTGTCTGTTAGCGCCCGGTATTTGAATGAGCTGACAGACCTACACACGCAGACGGATTAAAAGTAGGATTGTGTAAGTCGGTCACTCTGTTTGCATGTCAGCACTGCAGCAGGCAAGTAAGGAGTTTTCCTCTTCAAGAACCCCCTTCTAGCCTCACCCTTCTCTGCATTGTGTACAACTGCGCCCACACCGCCTCACTGAGCCGTGGACAGACGTGGCCTTCTCCATTTCTGTGTTATGGAAACAGTTTTCACGCGCGGCTGACTTGCACCCGCAACGCTTTCCCGCTAACTTTTATTATTATGTCCTTGAACTTGAAACAAACTGGCAAAACGGCACTTGGTGCAAACGCGTGCAACATTTCACATATTTATTTCGAAGCGTATTCTCGAAGTAACCAGCCGAGTTCTATCATAATTAAACCCTATCAGTGGTAACCTCGAAACGCCAACATGTAAAATAAAAATACCGTCGAATTCTTGTTAAAATTAAATTAAATTAAGAAATGAAGCAAGGAGGTAAAATCTGAGTGACTCCAGAAGGTAACTATGAATAGTGCTACGTATTGGAATGTGATGCGTTGATGTTTATCAACGTTTCGGAAGGAACTTCTGCTTCCATCTTCATGTCAAAGAGTTGTTTCTCTGAAGTCAGTAAACATCTACCATAGTATACGGTGTCACTTCCCAGAAGACAATAATGGAAATGTTTTTTGTAACGAAGATGTGGGATATATCAACACAGAGGGCAGAACAATTCTGTCGTTCCGTCAATGGCATAACAAGAGTTAAAAGGAAGCCACAGCTGCCATGGTTTTCAAATATTCAGAAACCCACTATGCCATTTCTCAACTTCAAAGCGCTGATCTCAACGGCTTTTCGCGTCAAAGAATTTGAAAAATGAGAATTTTTTTATGACCATAATTAATTGTCGATAGAGTAAAAACTCGCCAAGCCGCGCGTACGGTTTCTGACCCGCCCACGACCCCCCTCCCTCTCTTTGTTACAGACTCCATGTTACGTACTGCACTCAGAGCACTGACCGTTCTTGTACGTGCAACACACAGATATACGGCCTTCACTCACGACCAAGCTCCACATTCAAAAAAGACAACAGGTAAAAATTAACTTTTATTCACGCTAACCATAAGGTATGCCAGGGTTCGATTTCAAATAGGGGCAAATATATTTATCTTCTCCACAGCGTCCAGACCGCCTCTGAGGCGCACCCAGACTCCTACCCATTGGGTACCGGGAGTTCCTTCCCCGCGAGAGTAAAGCGGCAGGGGCGTGAAGCTGACCACTCGCCTCTGTCTAGTGCCCAGGTCAAGAATGTCTTCTTGGCAAAATGCTTAATTGAGCATAACATAAGCATAGCTTTTAAACAAATGTCTGCCTTTACATGCTTCGGCCACTACTGACCACCAGCAGAAGGTGCAGCCAGTACTTTACACATGTGCTGAACATAAGCTGTCATACAGGGACTTCTACAAGCATCAGAAGTTGAGACTAAATTTCTGATGCATTCAAAGCAAGTTGCGCTGCACTGACAATGTAAAATGTGTAAAAGTCCCTTTATAACAAATTATTTTCAAAAAACATAAGTAAAATATTTCTTAGGCCGCGCCATAGCTCAAGCGGTTAGTCGCTGGCTTCCTACCGCGGAAGCCCGTGTTCGATCCCGGGTCTGGTCAAGTGGGATTTGTGGTGGACAAAGTGGCACTGTGGCAGGTTTTCTCCTAGTACTTCCGTTTCCCCTCCCAATCTTCATTCCACCAATTGCTCCACAATCACCCTCAGCTATCATCTGGGGCTGGTACAATAGGCCAGAAGTGGTCGCAGTACAAGGGATTTAGTCCCACCCCATTAGCAATTTAAAAAAATATTTCTTCGTAGTGTTTGCTACGCATTCTGGCCAGCAGTGGCTGAAACATGTAAAGGTAAACTTCAATAATTATTCATGTAGTAAAGTAAAAAGTAAAGTTGTCCCTGTGATTAATTAACTAAGCACTACGCCATGAAGGCATATGGGGGAGTGGCTGTATAGATCCATATTTTCTTGACCTCGGCACTAGTTGGAGGTGAGTGGTCAGCTTTAAGCCCCGGCTGGTTTACCCCCGGGGAAAGAGCCCAGGTACCCACTGGACGGGCGGTTGAGTGGACCCCAGAGCCGGTCTGAACGATGCGGAGAAGACAAAATTCTTGACCTTACATGGAGTTGAACTCCCACATCCTGGTGGTCCATCCCGTATCCAGTCGCTATACCGACTGCGGTATCCGGGTTCGTGTTCATGTAGTCAAGTAAAGTAAGGTGAAGATATCTCTCTAACAGGCCGTGGAGGCCCATAACGTTGTGAGAGGTTGAGGCTCCCACATCTATACAATCGGCTCACAGATGGCGGTGATGTCAGCCTTACGCGCCGGCCGCCCTTTACCCCCCGGAATATTCCTGGTACTCATTTGTGTTAGAGGCTGAGTCGACCCCAGGTCCATAGTGCGGCTGGAAGGGTTAGGTCGACTGAAAAATCCAATGACCTCATTGGAAATCGAAACCACAAGATTCCGGCATGTAGCATAATGTCCCATCGAACTAGACTGCCGCATGCTCCCAATGGTAAGATGATAATATTAAAAAACATGAGAGGGACCGATCCGTACCTCGAACATGAGACAGCGAGCAACCAAGCATATTACGAAAGTTGCTCCGTAATTTTACCAATATGTACCATAGCTGTGACAGTAAAAACATGTGCAGATATTTCGAGAGAGTTTTGAAATGCGAATCCTCATTCCTAATCGTTTTGATTACATGTGTGAGCTTTAATTTTTTTAATCTAAGTGTTATAACTTCATTATAATTTTCACTACTGCGTAGATGTACAATATTGACAA